GGATAAGTGAGAGTGCTTTCACAAAATCAGAATATATGTTGATTTTATTAAATTGAGCATTCAATAAAGTTGAAGTCCTTTTAAAATGCCCAAAAGTTCTGCTGTGGTACTCGGATGATAATTGAGGTATTTGGAAAATCCCTTGATCTAATTGCCTTTATCATCTCATATGATTCTACCACAAGTAGTATCTCTAATAGAGTTGACATCCCCATCAATGTGAAGGCAGATCTAACATGTTTCTAGGGGTGTCCATCGTGCCTTTAGGCTTTTGCAATCATGACTAAGGAGATTAACTCTAGATTAAAGCCTCATATCATTAGAGATTTACTAGGTACTAGAGAAAGCAATGTCGACATTTTGAATGGTTTCTCAAGAATAGATTTTTTTATAGCGTGTCTTCTAGATGTCCCAACAAACCTAAGTGAAAAGCCTTTGCCATAGGGTCTTTCTTGTGTTTAGATTTCTTGCCTTAACTTTTGCATTCCAATTTATCCAATCCTGCATAGAAAGGGGGAAGAAAGTATTAAGTTTTGAGGGTTTCACTAGTTTAATACAAACATTACGAGCATCTATGTAATCTCGCAGAATATGAATTTAGGAAGAAAGAGAATTGCATCCAAAAAAGCAAGTTCGTTGAAGAGGAGTACTCCTTTCGATATAGGTAGATTTAAGTTGAAGTATGTCTCAAGTAGCCTTTCAAAGAAAGTACTTGATTTTTTCATAAGTAGGTCACTTCCAAATCCCTGCCCAAATGTTGAAATTGTTATGATCCTTTTGAGAGACCATAACTTTATGAGCAGATTTGATGATCAAGTTGCCATCAGAGGATGGTCTCCAAACAATGACATCATCATCCCTAGAAGGATTAGGTGGTCTAACTAGCACAATAAGTCTCATCACCTCAGGAGGGAGGTGACGATTCAGAAGGCTAAAATTCTATCCCCCAGTGGAGTTGTGAAGATCAAAAACTCAAGCATGAAGGATGGGCTCCGCACTAAGGTCGACGTAACAAATAAGAGGTTCTAGAAGAGGGGACTACTTACTGTACTAGAAAGAGGTTTGGTCTCCCTTATCAATTTTCCAACTAACATGCACCATGAATTTATCCCATATTTTGCAAATTTTATTCCAAGTGAAAGAGGAGGAGCTAGGTTTGTAGACCATAAGAATCGTAGGATATATACATTTGTATTTGTCATGAAGAATCTTGACCCAAAGCCAATTTGGTTGAGTGATAAGACCCTAGCAAAGTTTCATCATGAAGGTGATGTTTTGAATATTAAGATTTTTGATGCAAAGACCCCTAATAGATTTTTCTATAGTAATATAGTCCAAGAAATAAGGTGAGTTTTTATGCTTATCAGAGGAGTCCCAAAGAAAATTTCTAGAATTTTCCCTAATTTTGTTAGAACATTGTTTGGCAACAATATGGTATGCATGACAGAGCCAGGAATTGCTGAAAGGACAGAATTAATAACGACAGTTTTTCCAATAATGTTAAGAAATTGACTTCTCTAGTTGGTAAGGCAAGAGTAGGCTTTGTCAAGTAAAGGAGAAAAGGTAAACTTAGAAGCCCTTTCATAGATTAAAGGAATTCCCAAATATTTGCCAAGATTACCTGTGAGGGGAATTCCTGATTCAGTACTGATCTGAGAAGCCCTATTAAAATTGACGTTTCTAGAATAGAAGAGCTTAGATTTTTTGATGCTAACTTTCTGGCTAAAAGCATTACAAAAATCTGAGAGACATTATTGAATAATCACAGCTTGGTTAATAGATGCCTCAACAAAGAGTAACAAATCATCAGTGAAAAATAAATGAGAAATAGGAGGCCCATTAGTTGTTATTCTAATTGGCTTCCACTCATTTCTATCAATAGAACTAATAATACAGTGACTAAGAAATTCAATGCAAATAACAAATAAATAAGGAGATAAAAGGTCTCCCTGTCTTATGCTACAAGAGGGTACGAATTTATTTGTCGGTTTACTATTCTAAAGAACCCTCATACAAGAAGTAGAGATTGAAGCTCTAATTAATTTCTCAAAGTGATTATTCAAACTAATGGAATGAAGAGTATCGTTGATGAAATCCCAAGAGAGTCTATCGAAAGCTTTCTCAAGGTCAACTTTAAGAGCTATAAAACCTTTTTTTTTATTCTTATTCCTTATGGAGTGAATAATTTCTTGAGCAATTATGATATTATCACTACTCTGTCGACCTTAGATAGAGCTACATTGAGAATCCCCAATAAAATTATTCATACATTGACAAAATTGATTGGAGAGAATCTTGGTTATGATTTTGTAGCTGACATTATAGAGAGATACAGGTCAAAAGTCCTTCATACAAGTAAGGTTATTGATTTTAGGAATGAGAGTAATGAAGGTGTCATTTATCTTACTAATGATGTCCGAATTTATGAAGACCTTTTTAATGAGTTTAACAATGCTGGTTTTAAGATCATTCTAATAGGTGTGGATGAAACCTATTTTTTAAATGTTTGAAACTAAACCATTATAAGGTGATGTTTGAAGACACCCATTATACATATATTATATATATGATGGGTGTTCTTCAAACCCGTTATATATATATATATATATATATATATATAATATGATAGGTATTTAAAATATCCATCATATATAGTATTAATATTTTTTATTTAAAAAAAATCAAAAATTGAGATATTATATGATGTGTTTTTAAATACCTGTCATATATAGTAATATATATATATATATATATATGATAGGTATTTTAAACACCTGTCATATTTTATTAGTTGTCATCTGCTTTATTATTATATGATAGATTTTTATGTAACTATCATATTTTTAGGTATCTTATATTTAAAATTTTGTAGTAGTGTGGTTCTTGAATTTAATATTATATGAAATACTTTAAGTGATTGTGTTATATTGAAGTGTTCTCTTGTCAATAGTGTATGAAATTTCTTAAGATTCTTGACATGCATTTATTTAATTTTTATTATTGGGATGTTATTTAATAGACACATTTTTTCTCAAATAGTGTAGATGGCTCTAGACTTCCAAGTGATTATTGAGAGGTATACTTCCAAATTGGAGTTGAGGTATTATTTTGGTTAAATTTAATTAAAGCAAAACTTGTATCCATATATTATACTTTGTATTTTGTAAATTTTGTTCTACATGCTCATATGGACTATAGTTAGGATCCTTATTTGATTATACTTATTGTTGGTTTGCTATCAAGAAATGAACTCCTAATTGTTGTTTTTTGCAAAATGTTGTTATAGAATTATCAAACGACCCTATCTTTAGAAAAGGTTCTGCTGAAATTTTTACAAAAAAATTAAATTTTTTATTCTTATTATTCACACTTAAAATGGTTCGATATTGGTTGTCAGATGTATTCATGAGCTAGAAGTTAGAGCTTCTTAAATTGAGACTTCTTAGGATATGGGTTTTGCTCTTATATTTCGTGTTGGTCATGCCTTATTTTCAAGGCGTGACAGTTTACTTTGTTCTCTAGGGATGGTATGCAATCAACATTAGAGAATGTGGGCAAATTCAATATTCAATGTGGTGAAATCACCAATTATGATAACTTCGGCAATCAAAAGCTAAAGCTGTTCCCCAATTCCCTCATAAGCCTAGCCTTTACTTGGTACATAACATTGGCATGCAACTGTATACTTACTTGGCCAAAAATGGAGCAAAAGTTTCATATACAATTCTACAAAGAAGAGCCTGAGATTAGCATCATAGAACTTTGCAAACTAGCTTAAAGGGCGGGTGAGACAGTAGATCAACACCTTGCAAGATTCAAGAGGTTGAGAGGTAGGTGCAGTGTACCTCTTCCAGAGGTTGAGTTTGTCAAGCTGGCACAGTGAGGGCTCAATATAGAATTAAGAACAAAGTTTCAGGGAATAGAGTTTACAGATTTCTATGAATTTGCTGCCAAAGTTTGTGGATATGAAGAGTTACTAAAAGAAGAAGATCACCATTGGCATACAAACACAGGGACATATTTTGGTGAGCTTAATGTGGTTGTAGCAGAGCTAAAAATGTAGGAGACTACACATGAAGAAAGGCTGCTACTCAAGGCCCAAAAAGACCTAACGCAACACAGTATACCTTTAACATCTCTAAGACTGATGAAATTTTTTACTTCTTGTTGAAAGAAAAATTCATCTCATTACCTGTGGACCATAAGATTCCATCTAGGGAAGAACGTAAGGGAACAGAATATTGCAAATACCATCATTTTGTGGAGCCATAGTACTAACATCTATTGGTTCTCTAGCAACATGGTACAGGATTAGATTAATAAGGGTGTATTGAAATTCCTAGGGAAGGAGGAATCTATGGTAGTGGATGAAGACTTGTTTCTGCCATTTGCCATTGTCAACATGGTAGAGATAGATCTTAACAATTGAAAGGTTAGGAAATATGCTGGACAATAAAGGGAATGAAAGGAAGGAAATAGACATTCTTGGAACGTTTGGACAATAGGTGAGCAAATAAAAAAGAGACGAGAAAAAGTCAAGGTAGTGTGGGACTATCTAGGGAGCCCTCAAGCAAGTTTGATTACTTCACTTAGCCTCACCTGGCACGTGGGAACCATTCAAAGGTAGACCTTTAGGTTGGGATGTGGGTCCAGAGGGGTAACTTATGAAGAGTCCAGAAAAAGCCTAGGTAGTGTGGGATTGCATATGATGACTAGGAATTTATGAAAAAGAAAATGCAATAAATAATTAATTGATGAAGTAAATCAATAATTGAAAAAAAAATGAATGGTTCAGCTAAAAACAATAATAAATAAGATGACATGAAATATTTGGTTAATGATTCAAGGAGTGAGATTGTGTGTTGACTTGGAAATTTAAAATTAATGAAATAGTATTTTAATTATATTTTTGTTAATTTTGTGATTAGGTATAACGATAAGGAATGATGGTTCAGTGGAGCTTGTTCTAGCAACTCATTTACCAGCTCCAGAGCAGGAAAGGAGTTTTATTTTCGATTTAGTCTGTGTAAAATTATAATCATGCCCTCATCATCAGTAAGATTTTTTTCCCCTTTCTTCCCTATTCCTCGTTCCATTTTGGGGCAGTTTACACGAGAGGAGAGGGGGAGAGATTCGAAACCCTCACCCTCCGTGCTTCAATCTCTGCCATTCCTCCGCCTTCCTTCACCGTCGCGTTGTCGCTAGCCACCGTGGGAGTATCTGAGTCATTTCCCTTCCTCTCTTGTTCGTACGATGTTGTGGGGGTGCTGCAGTCGGTCCTCTGTTCTTCGTGTTCCCCTGCTTCAGGTTCTGCAACCAGTCTTCTTCCTTTGTTCTTGCTGTGATGTGGGGTGCGTCAGACGTTCTTCTTTCACCTCCTCCTTGTTGTTTGCCCGTCGCTGCTGTACTGGTATGGATCTGTAGGAACTTTAGTCTTTATTTTCTTTCATATGCTGGCTGTTAGGTGGCTAAAAGAGGAAAGGAATTTCGGGTTCTATCTTAGTTACAACCTTAGTAGATGAGTTTTGTGTAAAGTTATATTTTTGAAATTCCATTTAATGGGAGAGCATAACAGATTGGGCATTATCTAGTTGTGAGTTTATCTAGAGCATTGCAATGAAATATGACTCCATTGGAGAGCCTGTCCTAAGTCAACCAACAACTATGATTCATTAATGTTTAACCTTGACAATACACACACCCCTCAACGTGAGACCTTGTCCGAGAGCTTATTTTCATTTGAGAAGTTATTGGCAAGTTTAGTGGCACTGCTAACGTCAGACTTGCCTTAGAGAGAGAGAGAGAGAGAGAGAGAGAGTTTAAGCTAGTTTCTCAAATGAAGTATAAATGGGCTTATAATTGGTTAGAATGTATTGTACGGGAGGATAAATGAAATAGGAATAAAAAAAAATTGAGGTTCAACTCCCTCTCTCTATTTTCTTTTTCAATTTCAAAAAAGGATCCTAATGAATGGTGCATTTTGAATTCCCATATGTCTGGAAGGAAAAATAGAAGACAAGTGTAAAAGAAAAGTGAACCCGACCTCTAGAAGATTCATTGACCCAAAAAAAAAAAAATTGAAATTTGTTATTGCAGATGAAATGGATGAGTGTGAGCGAGAAATTAGAACCTCAAGAAGGTCTCACTTTCCTCCTCTTTTCATCTCCTTTCACAAGATGAAAGAAATTTAATTGGTCTATTATATATTTGGATGAAAGTGTGTATAGAAATTTAACTAGTCCCATTCTAGTTATTGTGAAAGGATGCATTTTTAGAGGCATAACAAGTGCAAGCGTTTTTGGATTAATAGAGTGAATAAATATGATGCGTGTATATATATTCACTTTGATTAAAATTTAGCTTCATTGTTTGATTGGTGTCAGGTATTCCAGAATTCTTTTCTTTCCTTTGTGGTTGCTGTTGAAATTTTGATTATTCCTTTTTGTATCAACTGCTATGCATGTGTAGGGAAAGGGTTGATGTTCTAACAGGCTTAAATAAAAGACTAGGAAGAATTTCAGTTTTATTTGAATTTATTTTTTGATAAGGACATGATCTTGGGAAGCATAATAAATTTGTATAAATGTTTAGGATTTGATTCTTGATGGGAAATTGACTAGTGTTGAATAGAAGGAGGTTTGGGAAGCTTGGAAAATTTAAGTATTGAAGTTAGAAAATTTTGACAAAAGGTAGTTGGTTGATAATTGAAGGATCAAGTGTGTTTGTTTGTTCTTATGTTAGCTTTTGGGTTCATATATAATTTCTGTGAAAGGAAAATTATGAAAATTGGATATAAATGATTCGAAATGTTGAATAAGTCATAGCTGGAGTATTTATTTTCTATAGAAAGACTTGAAAACTTTGAATATAGTTTACATGTGTGTATGTCATAAATTTATTGATTAAACTCAAACAGGGCATCTTATTGGTGAAAGATTGATGTTGAAATTTTCTTTTCTATTTCTCTAATTTTGTTTGGATTGAAAATTTGATTTATAAAATGTATAAAAGAAATAACAACAATGCCCCTTTGGGCATTAGGGAATTAAGGCGTGGGTAATATTACAAAAGTGGCTAATCAAGAGTAAGGTTTATGTTTGGAAATGTCTGAGGTAAGTGAAGAATGTTTCAAATAATTTCTTACAAAGTGTTTTCGTAGGCTTTATGCCTGTGCTTGTTCCATGGCTTTTAGTCGTGCTTGGTTACTTATCCTCGTGGAATGTATGTTCACGCTTATTGGTTAATTACCCTTGTGGATTTTATATCCACACTTGTCATTCATTCTGATAAATTTTCCTACTAAAGACTATTTTGAAATTACTATTTATAAACTAATTTCATTAAATAAGTTGATTTTCTTGAATGGATTTTTATGAGGAATACAATTCTTAACTATTCGTGGTAGTTAGAATGTTGTTATGTTATTATTATTTGAAGATGCTTTTTGGCTTACGTGTTTAAATGGAATTATTTGATTTATGAGTTATGCATTTATTTTAAATGATTGCTTTAGTTAAAATTCATACTTATATTACTCAATTTGTATTTCTTTCATTTCCTTTAAATTGTAATTTGTGGTGTTATTCATTAGAAAATATTTTTGGCCTCTGATATAATTGTTGAATCTATATCTCCGATTGATTATGGAGAGGCTTTATCATTGGATTGAAGTTGAAGAATTATTTTAGATAAATCTTAGTTTGATGTAAATTTCAACATTGTATTATTTTCAAAATTTGAGTCTTAGGTGCTTCACATGTATTATAGGTAGGATTCTTGTCCTTTTAAGATTGTATATTGATTTGCTATTGAAAATTGCTAATGTAGAAATTTCGAGGGTCCTATTTTCGGAGAGGCTTTGTTAAAATTTCTTTAGAAAGTTTGTAATTTCTATATGAGGAAGTATTGTAAAAGTTTCTTTCAATTTATTAATGTGTTTAAAGTATTAACTGAGGAGTTTCCTCGATAAAAGCTTAGGGATGTGAGTTTTGTGTTCATATTCTATACTCACACCTAAATTTTAGGGTGTGACACTGCCTGGGGAGCCCTTGGGCAAGTTTGTTTACTTTTTAAAATGCTCAATACCACCTAGCGTGGGGAACCATTTAGATGTAGACCTTCAAGCTGAGATGTGGGTCCAGAGGGGCAACTTATAGAGAGTCTGAAAAAAGCTAAGGTAATGTGGGATTGGTTAGGGGAGCCCTCAAATAAGTTTGATTACTTCATAAAATACCCAGGCCCACTTAGCGCAGGGGAACTATTCAGATGTAAACCCTCAAGTTAGGATGTGGGTCTAGAAGGAAAACCTATGGAAAGACTTGAATTAGAAACAACTTAGGAACTCCTTTCAAAGCCAAAGCCCATCAAGAACTAGGGTAGGTTCATCATTCTACCTAGTGACATGCTGCCTTAGCAATGGAGAATAGTAAGACACTAAAAATTCCCATGTATTTTAACATGTACCTAGAAAATGTGCTTATAATGCAAATATATCACTTAGAGATACCTCATGAAGTAGAAAATAGAACCTTTGGAAAATACTAACGAGCAAGAGATAAACAAGTTGGGTATTTTAACACGCACCCACATTTATGTTGACGAAGGAAGATGGTGAACAAGGGCTTGATGCTTGTGGAATAAATTCTTTGCCTTTCCAATGGATAAATGCAAGACCAATTGGGAAAGAAGAGCGAAGAAAAGAAAAAAAGTTGATAGTTAATTGAAGGGCATTTTGATAATTTTGCACAAGCTAAAATAAAAAAAAACCATCTTTTTCCTTGAAGATTTGAACCCAAGATCAGAAAGAAGACACCAAGAGAGTTTCCACTAAACTAGCAACATCTTTCTTATTATATTTGTCACAAAATTAATAAAAATACATTTAAAATGTGTAATGACCTAAAATTTAATTAAAATCTAAGTTGATGGCAAAATATTTTTATGATATTTTTATATAGTTTGGTATAGATTTACCAAGAAGGATAGTTGGTCTAATAGAATCTAAGCCAATTTATTATCTTCCAACTCTTGTGTTCGAATCCCAACTGCTTAAAAGTGGCATTTTATTTTTCTTTCAACCTTATGAGATTACAATTTCACCCTTCACCTAATCAGATATTTTTTCCTCTTATCTCTCCTCATTCTCGATCAAATTTTGCAATCTGTAGCGAGAGGGATTGAGAGTGCACAAGTTAAAACTCTATCCTTGGTCTTCCATCATCAATTTTTCTTTCCCCTTCCATAACTTTCCTCCAGTGTTTGAGTGTCCTATGAAATTTGCTGCCATTGAGGCTAGTGTTGCAATCTCCCTTGTCCCACGGTGGTTCTTTGTTCTCTATAGATTTGGTCAAGTGCGTCGCCTTCTCTGTCTCATCTCTGTATTGCCATAGTTAAGGTACCTTTAGATTTTCATCTCCCTCTTTCTACTTGCTTATTGTCGATGGGTGCTAAGAATTTAAGCTACCAGTATTAAAGACCTTATTCATGAGCTTCTTCCTCTCCCTTGCTTCGTGTTGCCAATCACTCACTCTTGTCAGTTGCTGTTTAGCTTGTCTATCATTTGTTGTCACTGTTGGAGTTGCTGTTGTCCATCGCTACAAGGAGCTTTATTGAGGTCACTGACTCTCCTTCTATTTCAATGTTGTTGGTGTTCTGTGCCCTCTCTATTTTAGCATTGTTGCAGTGCTCTTAGGTAGCCATAGAAGCTTGATCCTCTCCTTTCATCTCTTTTATTCCTTAGGTGAGTGAATCTCACCTCTCATCTCTTTCTAGTTTAATACTATGCATGTATGTATTGGCAAATTGGTTCAGATTTTTCATTTCTCTCTATTGGTTACCATGGGTCTGTGGAGAATAAAATTAAGAAAATGATAATTAAGGATCCTTTAAGAACATTAATCCTAATTAAGGATCATAACATCTTGAAATCTCAGTTAAGGACTATGATCCTTAATTGGGATAAAAAAATGTAGTTTGTAAGGTGGGATTCACTAACGCCATTTGGGAATTTACTAATCCAACTTGCAAAAATTACTAATGTATATTGTGAAAACATGAAACCCTACTTAGGAATCGATTGTTTAACAAAAAGCATCACTTAAAAATTCACTAACCCAACTTAGAAAATTTTTTTAACATATATTGTGAAAAGATAAAACTTCACTTGAGAATCGATTGTTTAACAAAAATAGCCACTTGAGAATTCATTAAATAGACTTAGAAAAAGTTATAACGTATATTATAAAAATATGAAACTCCACTTGAGAATTGATTGTTTAACAAAAAAAAAATTTGTTAAACAATTAATTTCCAAGTGGAGTTTCATTTTTTCACAATATACACTAGAAATTTTTTCAAATTAGGTTGATGAATTCTCAAGTAACACTTTTTGTTAAACAATCGATTTTCAAG